GCCCAATCACATTGCGTGCTTCATCGGTATCACATGAGGATAAATTCTAGGGTTATCGTGTCTAAATTCTATTCAATTAGTCACGATAACGTATTAGTCACGTGGTGAGAGTAATTGAATATCTCTCAACGCATATCATTACTACGTAATTTAAGAATGCAGGAGGAAATTGAAGAAAATTGGAAATTGGAAAATTGAAGAACAATCACTGGATCAATGTATAGCCAGAGAAATGCTTAACATTGATTTTTATTTGCGCTTGTATGCACATCATGTCAATAGTTTATCGATTATGATCAAATATTTTCATACACTGTTAAAAAATTTGGCTAAATTTTCCGGAAAAAAGCCTCGAATTTGATTTAAGGGGGGAATATCAAAGGAATTTCAAGCTTCTCTGAAAGTTCAAGTGAAATTCCACAATTTACAGGGAATTTCCAAGACTCTTCCATTTCATGGATGAAGCCGTTGTTATTTGAAAATAAAATCATTGTTCAGACGGCGAAGAGAAAAAATTTATCAACATGTGGTAATAAATCCTGAAATTTATTAACATGTGATATCCTTTATTTGGATGTTAGAAAATTCATTTGGAATGAATGAATTATTATTATTTTATCATTAAAAAATCTTAATTGAAATGATGACATTATTAGAAAAAAATTGGAATTTCATGGACAATTGACTGGTAATTATCCTTAGAGTAACATTGAATTCGATTTCGAGAGCAAGAAAGGCATTGAATTTTAGATTTTACTGAAAATTCGATAGAATTTAAAACGCCTGAGCAACAGGAAGACGAGAATTCCTAAATCTACTGGAATCTTCAACCAGAACATATATATTCTGTGATTCAAGAAATATATTCGCTTGAATGTTCCTGATTGTTATCAATTTGTCATGGGAGAATTGAAGTGAAATTTACAGCTTCCATTAATTTTTTTGTAAACTTTGGAGTTTTTAATGACGAAAATTTTTCAAATTTCAGTAAGAACTACAATGTAATAAAAGAATTTGCCGTTTTCTAAATAGTGTACCCAAAATATCAGCCAAAAATTTCTAAATAGTCTAGCCTATATATTAATGGATTTCCACGAATGTTATTTGATATTTATTTGAAAGCGAAGGAGAAATTTGATTTGTTAATGAAAAAGTATAAAAAAGCTGAGAAATCGAACGATATTTTCGACAAATATTGATGATACAGTATTCCATAACTTTTCTTTAATTGTTTTCTCTGCATATGATTGAGAAAACATTATTAACCTTATCCGCCAACCCACCAGACGTCAGCCTTGAACGTGCACTTAAAAACAGTTGTTATATCACCTCTCCCCGCTAACGCTATCATCTCGATAATCCGCCAAAGCCATAAAGCATATGCGCGTCAATTTATTTGTCCAACGATACCAATCTCATTCTCACACTGAGAGAAAAATCTGAAGTTCGCTTTACAATAAGAAAATAGTTGAGGCATTTTGGTGAATGATACGATTTTTTTTTGTTTGCGGCACATAACATTATAGTAACTTCACAAGCGTAATTTTTGCAAATCAAAATGCAGTTAAACTAACCAAAGTTCAAAAGTAACCACGACAAATCTATCGTGAGGAGAACTATAAAATAGTTGCAATGACTATATTCCATTGTAGTAATTACTTCTCCGGCCGAAGTTACCGTAACCCATGAAAAATTGTTGAGGACTTTTGACTATAATTCGATGGTGATGGAATATAGTCGGAAGAATTATATTTTTCTCTCAGTGCACATTTCTCCAAAATTCCTGGGTGAATAATATTAAAGCCAGCCTTGCTGCCAAAACAAAATGCCACGGCCATTCGCATCAAACAAGAAATGATCGTGTACGATATAATCGTACGTGTCCCCCTTCCAAATCCAAAAATGCTGAATACGCCGGCCGTAAAACGCAGACGGCACTGCCAATATGGCGCAACTGCCTCACCGTCTTCTCGTTTTCACCGAGCACGAAAGGGAATAATCGAGATATCGACAGTGATGACATCCTTCCCACGCCGTATTCCCCCGCCCACCGCCTCGCAATGCCCTTTACATCTCAATTCCCTTTATTTAGCAACGTTTACTTGTTTCACCAAGAAATTCCATTCTCTCCCCTTTCATTTTGTCCCTGTTTTTATGCGGATAAGGGTCCTGAAGGGGCAGACGGCCAGAGGTTGGAGAATAACTCCGGACAAGCCGGAGTACCCTAGCACTTGGCTCATTTTCTTTTTTGCTCCTCGCGCCCGTTGGCTTTTAAACTTTTTACGTAATATCCAAAATTTGAATTTAACCGCTAATTATACGACCCTCGCATCACCCCCCGCCGCCCTGGACGAGCTCACCGGGGTACAACGCTAAAATATTCATCGTCTTGGTAACTGGAAACTTTTCCCGCTCCGACGGACCACGCAAATTTATTATACCTACTATCATCCTCTCTTTTTCTCTCTCGGTTTCTTTTCATCCCCCAAGTGAATCTGCCACTGTAGTATGCATCAAACCGAGTATTCCCATGACCCACCCTTTTCATAGTTGACTTGAGCTCGACCCGTAAGTGGTCGTACAATGAGGGAATTCCCGCCGTTTTTCGATTTTTTTTATACAAAGACTTTGTGAGTGAAAACTTTATAAAAATTTGTGTTGCTACTTTCGAATATATTGAACACGTTGACAGTTTTTTTTACTTTTTTCATAGTTGACCTGAGTTTAACCTTAAATCGTCGCACAATGAGGGAATCCCCACTGTTTTTTGATGCTTTCTATTGACACAAAAACTTCGTAAGTGAAATATTCATAAAAATTTGTATTGCTACTTTTAAATATACTGCGCACATTAACTATTTTGTTACCCTTTTCATAGTAGACTTGAGCGGGCTATTAAGTGGTCGCACAATGGGGGAATCCCCGCCGTTTTTCGATTTTTTTATTTTGACGCAAAAATTTCGTGAGCGAAAAATTCAGAAAAATTTGTATTCCTACTTTCAAATATATTGAACATACTAAAAATTTTCTTTACCCTTTTCATAGTTTTTTTTTTTTTTTGATTTTGAAAGTTCAAAATTAGCCACAAACGAGGAATGAATTATTTTTTTCAACTTCCTCTTTCATGAAATCATAAAATACATGGGACGATATTCTGAACTACAAATCTTTCTCTCCGTGCAGTATCGACTTCTGTCGTAATGACTCCGAGTCAATTTACCTCACCTCGGTTTCCAGTTCCTCGCGCTTTTTATACGTAGAACGTCGAGACGAGACAAAGCGAGACAAAAACCGAGACTTTACATTAACAATACGAAAAACTTGAGACCGAGATAAGGTAAATTGACTCGGAGTCATCAAGAGAGGAGTCGATACTGCGTATTTCGAGACTGAGACGAGACTAAAGATTTCCATGTTCATTGAGACCGACACCATCTCTCCAAAGTATTGTCTCGTAAAGTCTCTCGCGGCATCACTAGAATAATCACATCATCGTAAAAAAACCTATAACCTAGGATCAAGTGGGGCTCAAATGAAAGCTCTAATGTTGAGCTACAAATGTTGCCGAGGATTTCAACGAAATAAAATGTCCAAAGAACTTGAATATCAACATTGGGAGAAGCCATCTCAACAATTGCAAATACATTTTTCAAGACGAAAGGAAAAAATCGAATGATAGAATCGATGTTAAATCATCCAGAGCAAACTACAAGTTGTTATCCGTTGTAGTAGTGGTCGTCGTCTTTCTCGTCGAGTATGCCTGGCTTCAGTGAAAAGCGTCTAGCACACATGGTTCCACAGCCCACGACAATAGGCATTGTGCAGACGCCATAAGCAGGAAGCGAAATGTGCGACAGGGCTACCCCTCGGTTGTATTGTCCGAGTGTCAGTGAGAAGGTAGACCGGCCCTCTCCTCATTCCCAAATATCGTCTGTATTCTTTTTCAATAATCTCAAACACATTATTTTTACCTGCAAGGACACTGAACTTCGCACTTTGATAAGATCAATTATTGGATGTTGGCGAAGTACGCAAACAGCGATGAGAACACGCTATACCGTACTTCGTAAATGAATTTTTTAAGTAGAAGAAGAATGTAATACAGTAACGAACATGAAGAAACAAATCGAAGAAATCCTATTTACTAAAAATGAAAGAAACGTGAAGTTGTTTTATATCGAAATATCTCGAAACTGCCTGACCGCTAATCCTTAATTCTGATTGGTCAATATGTGACACGAAGTTATTCACAAAAAACAACACGCGGATTTTCAAATTCTTCAGTGACATAATTTCAAATTCTTCAGTGATAAATTTTTTTTCACGAGATATATATATATATATATATATATATATATGTATATTTATATAATATATATATTTCAGATGTATATATATCATCGGTGAAATTAATAAATTCTGTTTTTTTATGGAGACCGATTATTTTAAAGAATTGAAGATAATTAATTGAAAATGAAAAATTTTTATAGATTCTTTCACTCTACTTCGCTATTCACTTCAATCATTAGTCGAATTCTCTTTGATTCATTATCAATATTTATAAGGTATTCATAAGAAAATGAAATTCAATGGATTCCATTCCTTCATTTCAACAAATGAATAGAATAGCGCGCGCGAGATCGCGCGCATAGAACTTGTCGGAAATAGAAAAGGGAAAGGCGTGCATTTCGACAAATACTTCAGAAAATCACTTCGACCCTGGTACCAGAGAAATAAATCATCGAAGGAACTCATCGTTAGAGTAAACATATTAAGAGCGAATCATTATCACCTGGACGCCTCACTCAAAAGAATGAAAATGATCTTAGACGCGAGCTGCAACAGCGGGGTAGAATCCCAGGACATTGACCACATACTATAGCAATGTTCCCTTCTGAATTCCCAGAGATTAGAACTAATAGCCAAACTGAGATCATTGAAATGTTGTTCTCCCTATGGGACTTTCCAGTTCATGGTGGCATCCGACTCCGAAGCTCTCACGCGATAGACAAATTCTTTATAAAATTTAAGCTCTGCATATAGAAGGCGAAATGTATAAAAAAACACATGATAAAAGCCAGTGTAGAAAGAAAATATACGACACCCTATCGACAGCCTGAATAACCCTGTTATGGGTTCTATATAGTGATGCCGCGAGACTCTTTACGAGACAAAACTTTGGAGAGATACTCTCGGTCGCAATGAACATGAAAATCTTTGCGCTCGTCTCAGTCGCGAAATACGCAATATCGACTCCTCTCGTGATGACTCCGAGTCAATTTATCTCATCTCGGTTTCAAATTTTTCGCGTTTTTCAATGTAAAATCGCGATTTTCGTCTTGGTTTGTCTTGTCTCGGTTTTCTACATATAAAAAACGCAAAAAACTGGAAGCCGAGATGACATAAATTGACTCGGAGTCATCACGAAAGAAGTCGACACTGCCCATTCCAAAACTGAGACGAGATCAAAATTTTCCGTGTTCACTGAGACCGAAGCAATCTCTCCAAAGTATTGTCTCGTGATGTCTCGTGGAATGTCTCGCGACATCACTAGTTCTATAATATCAACCGGTAAAGAAATAGTACATTAGAGTACAAGGGCACAAATTTCGTTTTCAACGAATGTGAATACAGATCTCGCCTTCGGCTCGGCCTGTAAACTTCACATTCGTCGAAAACGAAGTTTATGCCCGAGTGGTCTATACTATTTTATGCCACATCGTGCAGAAGTCGAGTTTGAAGCACGCTGCGCGATGCGGAGGGGACTTTTTGGACTTTTGATAACTGCGGAAGGACTTTTCAGTGATAAACGGCTTATCAAATTCGATGAAATTGATAAAATGATTAGAATTAATGATGAGTGTACCGTGAATGCCAGCTGATAAGGAGTGCGCCGGTTTGAATATCTACGCATAAATACCAGTTGCGACTGTCCAATATCACAATCGAAGCGTCAAGTGCAATCAAAATTCGTAAAGTGAAATACTTCTTGAAGTTTTTGAAAGCTGATTGTAAGAATCATGACAGGTACGTAAAAGATATAGTTTTGAAAGTGATATGACATTTATAAGAAACATGAAGAACTTTTTTTTTAATTGGAGAAAATTAACTCAAAATGAAGGAAATTTGTCAATTGTTCAAATTTTCATAGTTATTCATTGGTAATTCAAGTGTTTCAATTATCTGTCTTTTCCCCATGTTTTCACGGCACAGGGAAGAATGTATCACATTTTTGGGAAAATTTAGCTCATTAGTTTCTATGTAAATAAAATAGAAAATTAGTTTTAGAGCACGATTCAAACAATTTTTTTCACTCGTATTTTGGCTGATTGGAGTGCAATATTTTAACAAATGAATGAGTTCTTCATTCTGTTGAATTAGCGAAATAAAACAGAAACTCAGTGAGAAAATTAATCAATGGAAATAATTGAAAATTATGCCCATGCAGGCGATTCTTTTTACGAATTCTTCTAGAATGTCCAGGTTCATTTCACATGAAAAGAGTCAATTTAGTTAAATTTTCAATGTTAACACTGTTAGAAATAACTTCTGAAATTTCTTTTATTATTGAAAAATCATTTAAATTCTGGAGTATTCAATGAAATTGCAATTTTCAGGTTGAACATTCAGGGTTGAAAATTTTGAAAATTCACGCAACTATTTTTCTAATTTTTCAATCCATTGAATAATCGATAGAATGTAATGTTTCATTTTCATAATGAGTTTCAGAATTCTAGCTCTTATTGAAGTAATCGCCGAACACGAAAATTCCCAATTTTCTTAAATTTTCAAGCTGTCTAATAAATTTCATGAATGACTTGATCTTAAATTGAATTGAAATTCAGGACATTGAGAATTAAAATCCACCTATTGCGTGAATTCCACAGTATTTCTAATAATCTTTATTCAAGTATTCGTTGACTCATTTGAATGGAATAAAGTTTATTTTCAAATTGAATAACAAATTTTATTCGAAGTTTTGTTCATATTAAATCAATGTTTCTTTACTATTAATAAATCTTCATTTGAAATAAATAAATTGTTTGTTTAATATAATTAAATCCTTTTTCTTCAAACAAGTTAACAAGTTTATTCACTCGTACCAAAAATCTTCTTAAAATAAGTAAATAATTTCAAATGAAGATTTTTATTTGATCAAATTTTTCTGAGAACGCGAAATTTTCTCGGGCGAGAATGACTGATGAACCTGCCAGGAATCTTGTCATCTCAAAAACATTCAAGTTTCAACACATTGTCAGAGTATCGAATATTTTTTAACATGATTTCAGCCATCACTTCCCTCTTCTGTGTGCTCTTCTTCGCTTCTGCAGTCCTCGCCCAGATTGTGGTGATACCCGATCCATGGCCCGAAAATGTTGACTGTGATGTTATGCCCAAGATCCCCGGCGACACAGTTCACCTTCCGGATCCTCTCTCCTGCAATAGTTTCTACAAATGCGTTGGCATCATACCAGTGAAGATGCAATGCCCAGAACGTCTCCAATGGAACAAAGTGAAGCACGTCTGTGACTGGCCATGGAATGCTAAGTGTCAGTGAATGGCGTGACCTATGCCAATGTGTTTTTGTCAACACATTTGATTCATTATATAATAACACTTTCCCATGTCAATTGTAATAAATCTGACAATATTTAATAAATTTTTTGCCTCAAAATACTTTGAACGATTCTTCTTGTCGTCAACGAAATGTTCAAACGAATAAATTCACTGAAAATGGGCGAATGAATGATTCATAATGGAGTAATTCACAACCTCTGTCCACGCAATGGCCCGGAGGACGGATTCTATAATTCTAAACAATTTAATCCTTCCTCTCTCCCCTCCTCTTTTTTATAATGCGTGGAAAAAAAATATACTTGAATTGAGTATATTTTATACAAGAATCAAGTATATGCATAAACCTGATTCAAGTATATTATTTTTGATTCGGGTATAAAATATACTCGATTCAGATTTTTTTTTTCCTTATGAATTTACGTAGAGCAAAATTATTTATAATAATTGTCAAGGATGATAAAGAAGATTAAATATGGCTTTTTCTCTCTCTCGTCCTCTTCCGCAAATATTCATTTTGGAAGGGAGAAGGGAAATTTTTTTAAAAGACGAAGTAAAATTCATGTTCATCCTCCCAAATTTTACTCGCGTCAACCGCATCTTTTTATCCAGCGCGTCATAGTTTTTCATGTGTTCCTGAAATTCCTATGTTAAATAGTAAATTTTCGAGTGTGGCGAGTATAGTCCTGCATTCTACTTCTCATATTAAGAATTACTGTTTCCACAGTGAACAATAATTTTATATTCTTTCCGTGTAGATTTGTAATTTTAAAATTCTAACTAACTCAAAAACTCAAAATCGGTGACAAAATCACTGAATTTTAGAATTACAAATCTGCACGGAAAGAATATAAAATTATTGGTCAAAGAATTATTGTTCACTGCAAAATTGGTGACAAAATTACTATTATTACTCATTTCTTGGCTTGTGTAGATGTAAAACTGTAACAGTAGCATCAAGGAAATAAAGTATTCTATTCTATTCTACTCATTTCATCTCTAACTTTAAGGAATCTATTACCAAATTTGAGTAATAGAAATCACTGATAATCACGGCTATTCTAGTCAGTGTCCAGTATCATCAAAAATTGGTGATAGTTTTCTGAAAATCAATGACCTGGGCCTCGACATCAGTCGTATATTCCTGAAAATCAGTGATATGTTACCGAAAAATCAGTTTTTTATAAAAAAATTTATGATACATATAATTACGCTGATTATCACTGGTTATTTTCATTATCAGTGGTCATAGAACATGTCGTTTGAAAATAATAATTTGATCAACAATGGGATTGAATAATTCGATTACCGTTCTCATTATTTTTGTAGTGTCTCCTGACCACCACGTAAACTATTCATTATTTTTCTAAAAATTTCCAGTCGAGTGGGTAATGCGTTGGCGCGTAATATTATCTCTCAGTGTCCGACAACATTTTATTCAATAATATTGTGAAGTGTGAGCTCACACAATAATAAATACCAGTTTATTTATTAATTTAAGAAGAAACGAATGATAATAAAGGAATATAAAAAGAATTAACGTGTCCGCGGATTCAGAACGAAGATAAGAGAATAACGAGAGAGACGGAGACAATCGTACATACAGGTGGTTGAGACGGACGAAAAAAACAAATACGTAACAATATTATTGTGTAATATTTCGTTCGGACCCCAGCGAAATTAATAAGATGATTGGAAAAATAATTGCAGAGGGAACGAAAATGTTGGGGTAAACTGATAACGAGTTTGGGAGCTTAAAATGCAACGTATAAATAAGATTTGCAGCACTACATCAAATCGAATTCACAAGGTGTAACAGTTTTTCAAGTTTCTAAAAGCTGAGAATCATGAAGGGTATGTACAGTTAAAATTGTTCAGAGCTAAAACAATACATTGAGAGAAAAATTAACAAATTCTCAAACAAGTCTTGCTTGGGCCAAAAAAATCACTAGTTGGAAAATTACCAAAAAAGAAATTGTTCGACTCGAATTTGAGAGCCTCAAATGTAAATAATTGCTCTGATTTCAACGACAATGAAATATTCGATTCAAGAGGTGCATCATTCACGCAAAAATGCCTCTAGGATGAAAATATCTCTTATAGAGGGAAGCTCGTCAAGAGATATCTTGTCCCTAAATCACAAGACTGCTTCATTATTAGTTTATTTAAGGATATCCACGTAGTTCGGACATTTTTTTCTGGGAAAATCCTCTTCAGAGTTTATAGAGTAGACCAAGAGTTTTTTTTCGGTGCAGTATCAACCTTACACTGTTCGAAATTTCTTGAAATTACAGTCACAGCCTCATCTGAATTCTCCATGTTGTGAGTTTGAATTCAATTTCGAAGAAAAGCCTTCACAAAATTTCTCATTTATCCTGGAGATTGAAGAAAAGTGGGTTTTTCATGTTAAACAATCGTAGATTTTTCAATGAAAGCTTGAATTTCCGAACTCATTGTAAAAATTGAACATCACATACAATTCAATCCAATTTTCAAATGATTGGGAATTCAGAAACGTTGTTGCCTGAATTTTCAATGTTTTTCAGTGTCGTGTGGACTTGAAAATCGAGAATTACTTGAATATTCAAGAAATTAATTGATTCGTCAACGAAGAAATAAACAGAGATTTCATGTAACTCTGTGGTTGTTAAAAATTTCAAGCTTTTTTGCTTGAAAGTTCAAGAGTAACTTTCTAACAGTGTACAAATAGTTGGAAATCACCATGATCAATCGTTACTATCATTTCAGCCGTCTTCTCCCTCTTCTGCGTGCTTCTTTACGTTTGCACTGTCTTCGCCAGCCCTCCCAGGAAGGCCCCCCCCCATCACCCTGTTAACTGCAGAGTCCCCCCTCCGAAAGAGGGCGGCACTATTCTTCTGCCGGATCCAAAGTCCTGCCGTCGTTTCTACATTTGCGATGGACTGAAGCCAGTGAGGAGAATCTGCCCAGATAAACTCCACTTCAACCCTAGACTGCGCGTCTGCGACTACCCCCACAATGCTAGGTGCTATGTCGGCTAGTTGATATGCTGTTTACAATGTTTACAAATGTTTAACACATTCAACTTATGTCACGAATCGTTTGAATTCTACTCTGTATGATTTTTATTATTATCTGGTGTATTTTAATTGAAGGATCATAAATAGGCTCCTTTCTGTAAGATATTTGAAGCAAATTTCCTTGCTCTCAAATAAATAATTGAAATAGAAAATTTGTTGTAAATGATAGGTGAATAAAGAGTTTTCAAGAAAGAGTTTTATTCACTGTGATTGTTTTTTTTATTTTTAAAAAGTAAATCCTAATTCAAGAATTTCTGAGTTCTTGTTTTTGGGTTCCTTCGGCATAATATATTTTCCACTCAATCTTAGAGGGAATATATTTAAACAGAGGGAAACAAAGAACTCACATGATTGAAGAGAAAATACTGGATTTCGATACTGAGCACTTCGTTATGATAAAGTGAATAAGCGGTCTCACACTGTTACACATTTTCGTCTGAATTTTCCATGTCAAATCCCGGAAATTTTTATCATATTTAATTTCCACTGAAATTTCAAGCAATCTCATCATTGAAAAATAAAGTATTCCATTAATTTTCCATTCAAATGATCTGAAAATCAATAAAATACTTGGCTTTTCAGTTCAACAATTCCTTGAAAAATAGGACAAATCTGGAAAATTCAGGAAAAATTGAAAATTCACGTCATGTTGATTCTGAATATTCATGTTCCATTGAAAATTCCATCAAGTTGTGAAATTTCCGTCTCACACCCACTGAAAACTAATGAATTTTCTTGAATTTAACCTAAAATTCAAAACTTCATAACCGTTTGTCCTCTAAATCGGATTCAATGTCACTCTCACGAGAATTACTACCCCATTTTCTTTGAAATTTCGAAAAAATTCCAACAGTGCATAATTGAATAAAACAATCTCAAAAAGATGAATCGTTAATCGCGAAATCCCGGATTCAGTATTACGTTGTAAACGGATGTTCCCGCATGTCAGTTGCTCCGAATGTAACGCAGATCTGAGAGAGAACAAGTTGAAAGTCCCGAGGGATTCTCCCAGTGCGATCGAAAGGTGTAGTAATGCCATGGAGCGAAGAAGCCATGAGCTCCAACTGAGAGGTAGCGCCGGAGAAAACGCTATAGGAGAGAAGATCTCATCAGAGCGGCGACACTTAAATTCCCTATTTCGTGTTCGAGACTCAATGCCAACCCCCGTCTTTTGCAGTCTATCACATACACACACTCACACGTCGTCTTCCGTATTCGTCGGTACCTTCGCGTCCATCCGTTTACTTCCTTCAATCTCTATTTTCGTTTTTTTATGCTGGCCAGATACGACCAACGGGGAGTGCATCAGGTACTCGTGGATATACAGGGGAGTTGTGCACCAGGCTATGTGCCTCGGTGTCGTTTAATTTAGCGTATTCACGTAGTAAATGGAGAAGTGAGAGAGAATGGGAAGATCCAGGCGAAAACTTATCGAGACTTGTTATCGCCTCTGAGGGTCTTCATTCATCTTTGCTTCAATAGTAGTTTTCATCATGACGAATGTAATGCGAATTATAAAGCCACGTTGATCAGAAAATATTTAGTGAGCAGTGAGAGGAATGCAATTTTATGACACCGGGCCCGACAAAAACTTTTCGTTTATTCATAAACAGAAAGTCTTTTCGTTTGCTTGAAAATAAAAAAAGGCGCAGCTTGCCACACGTTGAACATAACATCATTGACAAAAAATATAGCTCGGTACTTGTGTAATTGACAGCCCTCGGCTTCGCCTCGAGCCTCCAACTTCACACTTATGAAAATACCGTCGCACTTGTATGGAAAGATAATATTATCGCTTGATGACATAATGTGCTGTTTTGTTACGGAGCCCGAAAACCGCGATCGAAGAATCGCGATTTATCCGGCCGTGTGACAAAAAAAAAACATGAAAATTTTGTGTGAATGAGTGATTTTTAAAAATTTCAAGACTTTATACTTGAAATTTCAGGAGTAATCTTCTAGAGGGGAGAAATGAGAGAGAATGGGAAGATCTAGGCGAAAACTTATCGAGACTTGTTATCGCCTCTGAGGGTCTTCATTCAT